ACGCAATGACTTCCAGAATGCAGGCATTCTCCACAGACCATGGTCAAATGATCTTCTCTAGACAATCTGCCCAACCCAGGAGGGAAGGCCTAAAGATAAAAGGAGCCAACAACATACTGATCTAACTAAAACCAGGATGTGCCGTGGGATGAAGGAGGGGATGGGAATGGTACACTACACAAGTGTAATAGAGGTAGGTAGAGAACAAGCTAAAATTCTCTTCTTCCATAGTAAAGTGTCAATAGGTAATGCCTAAAACTGAAAATAATCAACCATACAAATATAAGTATGTCATTTAGAGACAGAGGCTGCAACTACCAGCAAGAGTCAACTAGCTGTAAGAATTGAAAGCGGATGACTCTGAGCAGCAGGAAATGAGCTGGGGGAGGGGACTCTGATGTTTTTTTTGCAACCGGCTTTGTAGATCTATGTCCATGTGTAATCTTGATTTTAATAAAAATGTTTAATTAATACAAAAGAAAATGAATGCCCGAACTTTAATATTTTTTTTCTCAGCTGATTCGGGACATCACAATAAACATCACTAACTTGCTGTGCTCAGGGTCTAGGAAGGACCCCCACTGAAGTGTGATGTTGAGGACCAGGCTCTGGAAACAGGCTGTCTAGACAGGCTTTGAATCTCAGCTATGCCACTCGCTGACGGTGTGACCTTCAGCAAGGTACCTAACCTGTCTATGCCTCAGTTTCCTTATCTGGGGAGCGGATAATAACAGGATTATCTCGTAATAATTTAGTATTTAATTAAATGTAATGATCTAATACCTATAAAGTACTTAGTGTTTGGCACATAGTAAATGTTCAATAATAGTTGTTCGTGTTGAGGAATGTTTGCCCCTATAATAAATGCCTCCTGACCTCTGTACTGATTGTGCTTTTTATTAGTTTATTTCATTTTCCCTGGCCACGTCTTTCTAGAATCACCCGTTCCCCCTTCCAATGTGCAGTTTCTTTTTTAAAAAATATATTTGTATTGATTTCGGAGAGGAAGGGAGAGACAGAAACATCAGTGATGAGAGAGAACCATCGATCTCTCCTGCCTTCTGCATGCCTCGACTAGGGATCGAGCCTGTGACCTCCTGGTTCATAGGTCGACACTCTGCCACTGAGCAACACAGGCCAGGCCAATGTGCAGCTTCTAATTGACAAGACACCTGGAAACCAAATGACCAAGCTTCCTAGAACTGTGTATAAAGTACAAAATGGAGAAAAATGTGAGGCTGATCGGCAGGTTTCAATATAGGAGCCATCTGTCTGACTGTGTAGGACCCATTGGGTTTACTTCCTAACTGTCAACTGTGGGTCAGCAGCTGGGTGACCCTCAGGGTAACCAACCATCCCAGGTTACCCAGGATGAGCTGACGGAGTTTCAGCCCTGCAAGTTCCGAGTCCCTGGAAACCCCAGCGCTGGGCAAGTCCCTTCATCCTTTTGAGCCTGTTTCATCATCTATAAAATGAAGGCTAATATCTACTTCGAAAGTCTGTTGAGGATTAAATGAGAGGATTTTGTATAATACCTGACACATAGTAAGCTCTAAATAAATGGTAGCTCTAGCTACTATCCTGTTATTATCAACTCTAATATCAGTGGCAAACAAAGTATTATTAGAAACCTAACCTCTACCTTGGTTATTTTCTTACCGGCAAGCTGAAATGTTTGCTCTTGTGAATTGTCTTCTACTCTTGTCCTACACAATTTGTTCAGGAACCAAGACATATTAAAGGACCCTAATATTTCAACATTTCTGACTTCTGCACTGGGCAAAGGCCAGGTGTCCACCATCTTTTGATACACATTTTCTCTTTCACACAACCTAAGTCTTAAGAGTATTTATGTCAGTAGCTGCTTCTGAACTTCCAGACAGAAATCACCATGCCACCTCACAAAGGACATCAGGCATCAGACCTGAAATTGTTTTTTTAAAGTTGCACATACTTTTTCCCTTCATAATGGCACCAAATCGTTGTCTCCTAGTGGACTGACAACTCACTCACTAAATATATCAATTATACCCCTAAAAAATAAAGGCTCTTGTCAAACAGATGAAACACCATTTCTGACCTCAAAAGCTGAAGTAACTCAGTACTCAGTAGATATGAATTACAGTCTGGAGAAAATTACTCACATCCGTGCACCCCACAACACCCCCTTCATAATGGCACCAAATCATTGTCCTAGTGGACTGACAACTCACTCACTAAATATGTCAATTCTACCCCTAAAAAATAAAGGCTCTTATCAAACAGATGAAACACCATTTCTGACTTCAAAAGCTGAAGTAACTCAGTACTCAATAGATATAAATTACAG